TTATAGTATTTTATTTTCAACCAACACATCTCTATTTGTAGTAAAGGGTACTATTTGTAGTAAAATTTGAAACTTTTCAAATGCCATGGATCCATTTTTATAAAATACAAAATCAAAGCATCAAATAAATTGTGTTGTCAAACTGCCTGAAAAGTTTCTAAATGTTTATGGCAATTTCTGGCAACATTCCTGTACGGGTACATTTTGAGTAGCCCCATGAGAGACAATTATATTCTTCATCTTCAGACTGAAATGGCTTTGAAGAGAAATTTTTCTGATCTAATGAGTAACTTTAGACTGCCTTTTCCATTTGTTTTCTACTTCAATTCATGGCCAACCTTACAAATAGAAGAACTTATCAGCTAATAATTTATCCTCAAATGTTTGGCTACATGGTTCTGATTTATCTTTACTTTTTTCAAAGGGGGATAATTCCTAATTTATCTTATAGGATAATATTACAATGAAAATTGCTTAAAATGAATACTTAAAATGTATTAATTATAACTACATATTTCTGTGGTATCATATGATAATTCAGTATAAAAATACTTTTAAGAAAGATAAAAATCCCATGATTTCATTAAATATCCCCCCAGCTGAGTTACAGAATAACCACATGATCACAGAGAAGCCAGCAATCCCCTCAACTGTCAGAAGTCTGAAAATCCAATGTGAGGACCAAGTTACAGCAGGAAGAAACCCACCAATCCAAAAGAAAGAGAAAACAACAACAGCAGCAACAACAACAACAACAAATCACAAAATCCAGTGTTTACTGTACCTCGCCTGGCACCATGCCATCAACCTGTACATTTGGGTTTAAGACCTAGATTATATGTCAGCAATGGCTGCAGCAGTTATTCCATAAAGCAGGGGATGCCATATGCTTCTAATCTGCATCTTTATACAGTTTGAGTAGAAATAAAATTTCAATTTTTAGCACTCTTCTGAAATAGACTTCTTTTATTCTTGGTGGGTTTTAATTATTTGGAGAGTGAATTGAATAAAAATATAGTGAAATTTCATTTTGCCAGAGAATTAAATAAGGTTTATGGGAAACCATGTAATGTGGGGAAACATTAAATACAATAAACTGAAAAAATGTAATACATGTTACACATTGGACCTTTTATGATCTACAGATCTATTCCAAGAAAAAGAAAAAATTGAAATTCGAAGACTTATGAGTTTGTTTTTGGAAATAGTAAAAATAAGTCCCAGCTGGTGTGAGAACACGGATAGAGTCACAACACAGAGCCAATGTACAACATAGGACCTAGGTAAATAATAGCACAGGATAGGAGAAGTGTTGGCAGAGGAAAATTTTAAATGCAGAATATTTCATACTGCTTTTCTAAAGGATTTTTACAAAAGCATAAAAGTATGTGCACATGTATCAATAGCAGGAAAATGTATTGAAACAATATATCACATGCAATTTTTCTTTACAGGATTTTTCCAAGAGCAAAAACTAGATGACCAGTGTGGATTAATCATTAGTGGATTTAATAAAGGGAACAGATTATTAATTACCAATGCAAATTATTTTTCATTTCTTTAATGTTTCAATCTGTTAGATGTTTCATTAAGAACAATTTTTATTATGTAAAATGACTAAGCTTGACTACTCAACTCTTTTCTGATGTTAAAATTTAAGTGTTAAAAACCCTTAACAAACAGAATTTACAGTTCAGTTAGCAGTCGCTGAATGTGAAAAGAGTTCTTAAAATGCTCTTCAGAGCCATTCTCGTTCCCATAGAAACCAATGTGAGATCTTGGAAAACAAGGTAAGTTCTAAAATAATCACCATTATAAATACCCATTATATAAATGTAAATACAGGCAATTGAAATGATTTAGATGATTTTGAAATTGCATATCATTTCCCAAACCATAATGATTCCTTCAGAGTGGTTCTTGTCTGTCATATAAATACAGCATTTACAAAATTTTTTAAATTCTTATGATTTGCTTGTGAGACCATAAACGCTTTTTCAAACAAGTCTTGGGCATGCAAATATAGATTTTTGAACATGTATTTTGGTATAAGATTGGTCTTTTTGGCTGTGCTTTTACTTCATTAAGTACTTATTAACTTTTGGATTTGTATAACATTTTCTTTCATTACTAATTATAATAAGATCAAGATTCTTTATGATGATGATTTTTATATTTTATTTATATAGACATTTCTCTTGATAAAAGAACAAAAAAATCTTATTCAGTTGGAATTATAATTCTTTTCCAGATTCAGAATTATTTGGATATAGAATACTCATAATAATAAAGATGTAAGTTGAACTGTACACACACACACACACACACACACACACACACACACACGAAGAGCTAAACCTCCTCCTGTTTAAGGAATAACACAGAGAATTTCCAACAGTGAGAAGCAAACATCTGTATTTAGCATGGTTATTAAAGGAACCACAACAAGTTATAGAAAAGTGACACAGTATTGTTAGCTGGAACAATTTTAGGACTTGGATATTTTCTTTTACTTTGATTTCATCTAAACTTTTATTTTTTAATGTGTGTTGTTCAGACTAGCAACAACATAACTTAGGAGCTTGTTTAAATGTAGACTCTCTCTAGGGACTGGAGATGGAGAGATGGCTCCGCAGTTAAGACCACTGACTGCTCTTGCAGAGGATCCTGGTTGGATTCCCAGCATCCACATGACAGCTAACAACCATCTGTAGCTCCAGCTCCAGGGAATTCTATGCCATCTTCTGACTTTCATGGGCATTGCATGATACCAGAGCACTTACATACATGCAGGCAATGGACTCATACACATAAAATTAATGTAATAAATAAAATATTTTTAATGTAGAATCTTGGGCTGTACATAGATTGAATTGGAATCTGAACTTTTACAAGATCTTCATAGATTTGAATGTACATTAGTCATATTAGTTTAAAAGCCAGCCTCAATAAAGCCTTTTAGAGACTTTCTTGTAAATGAACTGATAGGAATTAACAGAATCCACTAGGATATAAATCTATGTGGCATTTGTAGTGCTCAGAGCAGAATCTATAAGCAATATTAAACAATTTTGAGACAGGCACAATGGCACATGTCCTTAATTCCAGAATTCTGGAGGCAGAGGCAGGTGGATCTCTATGAGATCAAAGCCAGCCTTTTCTACATAGGGAGTACAGGAAAGCTGGGGCTATAGGGAGACCTTATCTCAAAAAAAGTTTTTTGAGCAGAGAAAATGAAAAATAACCTTTTAGTTCAAAACTGATATATTTTCAAGTATTATGTTTTCAAAGAAAATATTCTTATTTTATTTTTCACTGACCCCCTCCCTATTTAAATCAATCTCTCTCTCTCTCTCTCTCTCTCTCTCTCTCTCTCTCTCTCTCTCTCTCACACACACACACACACACACATGCACAGGAACTGAGAGCATTAATGTAAGACCTGACACATCAAACATCTAGAAAGAAGCACAGAAGAGCTGCATGCCATTGGTTTAGGCAATGGCTTCTTGGATATGACTCAAACAATATAAAAAACAAAACCAAAAATAGATAAGCAGGACTTAAAACTCAAAAACTCTTGCAAAGTAAAGGAAATAACCAACAATGAAAAGACAGCCTAGGAAACTGGAGAAAATATTTTCCAACAAAATATTTCATAAGAGGTTAATAGACAACCTAAACAATCACTTCTAGAGTTAAATAGCAAATTCCAGAATAGTCTAATTAAAATGTGGGCAGAGAAATTCTCCAAAGAAGACATACAAATAGCCATATGAAAAGTTTTTCAACATTGCTAATCATCAGGGAAACACAAATAAAATTTCACATGTTATTAGAATGGTTGTTACTAAAAAAAACATAGAAAGCATAGATGAGGATATGGAAAAATTGGAATCTTTGTATGCTGTTTGTAGGAGTGTAAAATGGAGCAGCCTTTGTAGAAGACAGAATGGAAGTTCTTCAAAGAAATTAAAGACAGAACTATATATGATCCTGTTATCCTACTTTGTGAGTATATATCCAAAGGAACTGAAATGAGGATCTTGATTAGACAGCTTTTACTTTAATGTTCACTGCAGCATAATTCATAATAATCAAGATACAGAAACAAACTAAATATCCAACTGATGAATTAAGAAAATGTGGTATACAATAGAATTCAGCCTCAAGAAAAGAGGAAACCCTACCATGTGTGACAGCATTCTTCTCGAAAGAGCTGTGGAGAGGACGTGACTCTGAGTGAAATACGGCTGCCACAGAAGGATGAATACTGCAAGGTTCTATTTGGATAAAGTACATTGTTCCTATTTCTGCATCTGAGAGAATTAATTGAAAAAGAGGAAATCTTTATCTTGGCTCATGATTTCAAAGATCTTAGCTCCTGCTTGGCCGACCTCCATAATTGGGGGCCTGTGGTGAGGTAGAGCAGCGCCAGGGAACTTGTGATGGAGGCGAGCTTCTAGCCTACGGTTTACAAACTAAGAACAAGGAGCTGAGGTCCCAATGTCCCCTTCAAGGGTATACTGCATAATGGCCTAATTTCCTCACACTAGGCCCTATCTTTAAAAGTCTCTGTCACCTCAAAACAGTGCCAGAGGCTGGTAAGCAAGCCTTTAGCATATTGGCTTTAAAGGGGACCTTTAAGATCTAAACCATTAAATGAGATATCTGAGCCAGGGATAGTGGTGTGTGCCTTTAATCCCAGTACTCAGAAGGTAGAGGCAGGTGAGTTCCAGGCCAGGTGGGAGACACTGTGTCAAAAAGAAAAAAAAGAAAAAAAAAGAAAGGAAAAAGATAAAAGAGGTATCTAAATAGGCAAACTCATAGAAATAGAACACAGTACAGCACACAGTTGCCAAGGGCAGGGGAAATGGGGAGTTGCTGTTCATTGGTTATAAAATTTTAGTTCTATAGCATACATCTGCAGTTAACAATAATACAGTATTGTACACTTCAAGTTGTAAGAGGGTTGAATGTGGTGATGCCCACCTTTAATTCCAGAACTCAGGAGGCAGTAGCAGGTGTAGCTCTGTGAGTTCAAGACCAGCCTGATCTACAAAGAAAATTCCAGGTCAGCTAGGGCTCCATAGTGATAACCCATCTTAAAAGAAAATTGACCAAAACAAACAATAAATAGACAACAACAAAAACAATCTCTCTTAAGAGAATGGCCTTTGTTTTTAAATGAGTCTGCTATAAATTTAAGATGCAAAAGACCAAAAACCAAAAAACAAAAAAACCCAAAACAAAAACACACCCTAAAATACAAAAATTTTGTGTTATCTTCTTACCATGACAGCAATAAAACTGCAGGAGGGTTTCCAGTCAGATTTAGCTCTCCAGAGTCTGCTTGCATAGGGGATAGTCGCTTTTTCTTGAGACATTCAGGTTCCATTTCTGGGAACAGCGAGTTAATTTTAAATGTCTAGAAAGAATGAAAATTCAATAAGGGAACTATGTGTGTGATGATTAGTTTTAATTGTCATCTTAATACAATGCAGCATCACCTGGGAAGGGTGTCTTAATGAGGGATGTCTTTATCAGGTTAGCCTGTGGGCATGTCTGTGAGGAACATTAATTGAGGTGGGAAAGCTTGCCCATTATGGTCCTCACCATTCCCTAGGCAGAGGATCCTGGCTACATATGTGTAGGAAGGGTGTTGAACACAAGTAGCATGTGTGCATTCATTCTCTCTCCACTCTTGGCTCTGACGTGACAAGCTGCTTCCACTTCCCACCTTTAGTTGCCCATGAGGATGGACTCCAACCTGCAATTGTAAGCCAAATAAACCCTCTCTACCCAAGTTACTTTTTTGTCAGGATATTTTATCTCAGCAACAGAAATGAAGTAAGACAATGTGTATGAAATAAGATATTTCCTATAAAATATGTTCCACTTTCTACTTTCCAATATTGCATCTTTATTATACTACCTTATTCATATTTATGGATACAAATCATATATAGCTTGGCTTGCTCCTACTTTTTTCCTAATTTTTTTTTCTTCTGGCACTAGGCAATGAACCACTGAGCTGCATCTCTAGCCCTCTGTTTACTTTTTATTTGGGGATAGTATTTCACTAAGTCACCCAGACTGGTTTTGAAGCCCCACTCAGGTGAAGAACCCCTCTGCTTCACCCTCCTGAGTGGTACGAATCAGACTCACACCACCAGGCCTGGTTCAATTTCCATATTATCTAATAGAGTTTTACACTTGCATTTACTACAAATATAGGTGGAATTTTTGAGGTTGAATTTGACAGTTGTCTAAATGCCATGACTTAGTGGGCAAAAGTCCCTGAAAGTGTTCTGCTGACAGGTCTTTACTGATAAACTCTCATCTAAGACTTTCCCTTTGGAGACTCAGCAAGAAGCTATTGGAAATGGTTGTTTTCTGGGAGTTAGATAAGGCAGATAAAAAGATAGCTATAGTGTTTCACAGATATTCAGAATTTCTTAATGACAAGCATCAATGCTGTTGCAAAGAGTCAATTTCTAATTCTGAGGAGTGTTATGCAATCAATGCTGGAAAGTGAGAATCAGTATTATCATCTTCTTTGGCTTCAAACTGACATCATTTATTGTCTATTTGCCATATGGCAGGAACCCTTTTGACTGCTTTGAATGCAATAGCTAATCTAATTCTCATTACTTTATGAAGATGGCAATTTGTTATTTACATATTCTGAAAGGATGATGTAACAATTGAGGTGTTGGTCCACTTTCTCAACTTTTCATGTCTGATTAATTCTGTTCTCCTGAAGTCAAACTGGATACTTTTGAAATCAATTCTTTCTCCAGGTATCAGCCTCTCACCATTTCTCCTTGGTAGACATATACATACACAAATCAACCTGATTGCTCTATTTTAGTCACTGTGCTGCAAACTGAAGGCGTAGGTAATTTTGCTATAACTAACTCTATGGAGGAGCCCTAACAAAATTTCTAGAAATAAAGCTACTTGGGACAAATAGAATCATCTGCTATGAAATATGCTGCCAACTTGATCTATGAAGTCAAAACTATTCAGCTATAGATATATAGAGGGAATAACATAGTTCTAACCATAAATGCTTCTCAAAAGAGTTGTGGTGAGTTTTGTAGCCATACACAGCTAAGTCAATCCAAGCGTTTGATTTTCTTAATCGTTTTACGTCTTTGCTTTCTGCACTTCTGCCTATGTTTAGAGAGATTTTGGTCACTGTACTTTATATTTGTGCCTACTGCTAGAAAGAAATGATTCTAGGAATTCTGCCAACTCTCTGCCTCTTTGTATATATTAGTAAAGGTTGTTTCCATCATGAATGCCCCTGGTTCCATCTCTCCTCAGCATTGTGACACTGGCAATACTACCAACTTCTCTGAGTTTCAGTTCCCTCAAGTATAAAAAATGGTTTAAATTGTACTTAGTAGGGCTGCTGTGGGGAGGAGTTAATGAGTAAATTCATAAAATGGTTTGACCCAGAGTCTGACACAAAGCAAACACTAATAGCATTATTATTATTATTATTATTATTATTATTATTATTATTATTAGTGTGAGGAGGGACAGACTGCATCATAATGTATTTCCAGGAAACAAACTTCAAATTTATAGACTGTTAGGATTAATAGGGCAGACCTGAAAATTTAAAAAACATAAATCCTCTATTTAATAGCTAGCATGTATTGATCATTCAGTAGGGGTCAGAAAGTGGTTGAACTACAAGTTATGTACATAATTGTATTTAACTGTGATACTGCAAATAAAGTATGCTATAGAGAAAACAAGTCATTTAAGTCTCCTTTTAGGACCTGAGTCTGGAATTATAAGCAGTTCTGCAAATACATATTATTATATGCTTAATTTACACAATAAGAGCTCCCATGTCATTGTCCAAGTTTTCCATGTGCCAGAACAATTAGAATGAAGAAAACCCCCAAATACTATATTCTGAACAGTATAAAAATTTCTACTTATTTTTGCTTACTTTTTTTTTTTTTTTTTTTTTTTTTTTTTTGAGACAGGGTCTCCCTGTAGCCCCAGCTGGGCTGGAACTCACTATATAGACCAGGCTGTTCTTCAACTCCACCTGCCTCTGCCTCCCTGGTTTTACAATAACCTGTAGAGTTACTACACAGAGCCATGAACTCTTAATAGTCCATTTACCACACGCATCTCCCAGGCCAAAAAGCACTGCATATGGAAATTTTGGAGGACCGAGTTAGTATTATCTAGCACACCTGAGTGACGCTGGCTGCTTCTGATTCCGTGTTTTCTGTGGCGTGGAGCTACTTAATACCAAGCTTCGGGAGCTGTTTTAAGGACTGGGATAATGTATGATAAGGGCCTGGCTCTTATAAAGCTGAGTCATGTTGGCAGTCACTAGTCACTTCGTCTTTCTATATTTCCTTCCTCAGTTGCAAATTAAGTAAAGGTGCTTCTATTTTAACACCCTATGAGTCTTTCTCAGCCAACATGAATAAGACAGCAATGGCCAAAGCAAACAAAACCACCCAGAACAGCTACACCCGCAGGAAGCGCTAGGCGGACCTCCGATATCCCAGCATCCCTTGCGCTGCCCGGGCAGCTCTTCCCGCGAGACTCTATGGTTGCGCCGGTGTCTGCAGCGGCTAAGGACTACCTGGACTTCTAAGTTTGCGCCATATCTGAGAGGTGTGGGGCCTGGGCCCGCGCCATGTCCGAGAAAAAGCAGCCGGTAGACTTGGGTCTCCTGGAAGAGGACGACGAGTTCGAGGAGTTTCCTGCCGAAGGTAACGGCCGGGGCCGGGCCGCGAGTGACTCGGGCCTCTGGTGGAGGCTGCGTGGCGGGCCTGGCTCTTTGCCCCGCGGCGCCTGCCCAGCGTGGCCTGGGGAGCCCCGGCTCGGGGTCGCGGTAGCGGCCTGGCGAGCCTGGTGGGTTCTGCCTCTCTGGGAGGAGTCAGGCCGAGCTCACCCTCACCCGTACAACGTGGTTGTTCTTCCTCAGCCTGGGCCAGTTCGAGCTTCCCAGTCTGTTTCTCTGGGGGTTCGCCAAGCCTTCCTTTGGTTAACCCTCCCCAGAATTGGACTGATGTCTCTAAGTAGCCGGCCACTCGCTGTTAGGACGGTGTAAATGACCTGGGAAGTAAGATCAGAATCATGTGTGGTGTGCCCATTACGGATTTGCCTGAACGCCTCTTCTTACCATTTGTGCTCACTTCGAATTAACATAAGCCTAGGCGTGTAAAGCTCTCAAACTTCTACGTTCTGTTAACTTCAAAACCAGAGACGCCTTCGTTTTCTCACTGTAGATAACTACATGCAACTAGTATTTGAGAGGTTGCCCTAATCTCAGTGTAAGTCTAGCATAATTCATTTTCACAAATACAAGAAGTAGGAATGCTGTTTGCCATTTTTCAGATAAAGAAACTGAAGTTTGGAACCTGTAAGAAGCAAGCCCAGTGTTGGTTGTATTTGGCTAGAAATGATGAAACTGGAATTGAGACACCTGCCCTGCTACATCAAAGCTCTCAACTTTAGCTGCACTAAGTTCTGTTTGTGCGATCTCTTTTGCCAAGTTAGGTTTTGACTACTTTAGCGGCTAACTGTGTTGAGTAAGGTTCCTAACTATTTACCTTGAGCTTGTCAGGATAAATTGGATAGCCTTTCTAAAGGTGGTAGGAAGGGAATTATTAATGGTGTGCACATATGTTGGTATCAAGCAATTATCACTTAACTGAAATGTCCTAAGTTATGTATTCTATCATGATCCCATTGCGCATAAAACCACGTAGCCAGAACATTCTGTTTATAATGAACTTTTATTTTTTGTGAAAGAGAACATTTGTGTGCATATTGCACCATCTCAGACTCAAAGCACATTTCCTTCCAGTTACATACTCCATAATATATTGTTTGGTAATGAAATTATCCTTTCAGTAATTTTCTTTTTTTCCAGGTTGGTTCATAATCCTCCTATATAGAGTTTCTGGTAGAAAACTGGCTTGGGGCAGGGTCAAATTCTTGAACTATGTATTTCAGGTGGTATTTATTGCTTATTTATTACTACAGGATACACTGTTAGACACTTGATTTACATTATATAATCTAGCATCCCATTCTTAGGAAACAGGTTCAGAAATGTTTAAAAAAAAAAACAAAACCAAAAAACTTTGCCATTAAGATGGCAGCTCAGGATCTGAAAGGTCCTTCTTTCTGACCACCCTCACCCCTCATCCTAACTTCACCCCCGTACATTTAGTAAATGTAGCTATTTAAAATAAGGAGGAAAGGATATAGTGGTAACTACTTGATGATGTACTAGATTATTTTCAGCAAGTTTCATCAGTTTTTGTCCTTCAAAGTTTGTTTTCAGCAGCAGTCTGGTCAAAATGTTAGCAGTTACATAGTTTTTAGAAATCTCAGTAAAGTTAAGGAAAAGCAAAAGACAAGGGTGTACAGTTGACTGGTTTATTAATATTGAGCACCACCTCATATATGTGTTGTCTTTAGGTCTGAGTATATAGAATCTAATTCATTGAGGAATCTTTATATTTAGAATGAGAAATAACATTTAAAATACCTTTATTAGGTTCTGTCTGTTCTCTAGTTTTTCAGTTAAATATACTTTCTCTAATTTGAATTAGGGAGATTTTGCTAAACACCATTAACCCACTGGGTGAAACATCTAAATATTTCCAAATGAAAACTGATTACAAACAAAAAAAAACTGGACAAGTATCATCAAAGGACCCATTTTGTTTGTTTGACACCGTACGTGTTCTTTCACAGTTTGATGTTGTCATGGTTTAGATTCTCAGTTGCTGTTTAGAAATGGGGTACATGGATCACCATCTTGGCATTACCATTGTTTATGGGAGACAGAGACTCTTCCTCAACCTAGATCTACTGAGTCAGACTGGGTAGAGTTCACCAAGATCCCTTTAAAACAGTGCCCAATTTTGAATTTTTGGTATTTGAGTTTTCTATTCAGTTATCATTACCCTGACTTACTTTCAGGTTCCTTCCTTTTGGGAAAAGTTCTTTTTTCTTTTGTGGCAAACATGCCTTTGGCAAACTCACTGCCAGAACAAATGAAAAATTTTCTGGTTAAGACAGTCTATTACCACCTGTGCCTTCTATAGGATACCTTACTTCAAGTACTTACTTTGTTAGTCTGAGTGTGCTCCAGAGTGGTGCTGACCATTCTCTGAGTTATCTTGTATAGAGCCTGTCACAAGTAAGCCATTATTGAGTTATGTATTTATGGTTTGACTAGTCATTGTCTGTCTGTGGGAGTCTTTGTGCCTGCCTCTGCCTCCCAGTTGCTCGGATTAAAGGCGTATGTGCACCATGCCCAGTTCAGAAGCCAAAACTTTTATTAATTTATTTTTTTTTTTGTTGATGATATTGGTCAATATTTATAAAAGCAAAGTTAGTCCTTTAGGATAAATATTTTTAAGTTTGAAAAACAAATTCATTTTTTACATTTGAATGTCTTTAAATATTCAAAGTATTCCTTATCCTTTGTTTTCTGGTTTTCACAGTATGTTTTTTGAATATATTTTTAATTGAATTTTTGTACATTTCATACATCTTAATCATATTTAGACTCCCCTTCCCTATCTGCACCCCCCCATGGCCCCACCACCAGATCACATGCATTCTGTCATATATGTTAAGGCCTATCAGGTCAAGTTTGTTACCCAGACCCTTGTTGTGGGTTCATCCACTGGAACCTAGTCATGTCTCTTCCCTCCTTTAAAAACCAACTCTCTCTTACCCAAGCAATGATCAACTGCCAGTAGTTCTCAGCTGAGGTTGGGACTTCTTGCCCATGTCCCCAGTTCCATGTTGGGTTTTTATTGGGTTTGAGTTTGCATGGATCTTGTGCATGCCATCACCATTGGTATAAGTCAATATGAGCAAGTTCCCAGAAGCCTGGAAAACTGTTCCCTTGTGGTCATCTACCACTCCTAAGCCAAGGATTTTAAATGTGTGCTATATACATAGACCTATGTGAGGAAGAATTCTCACAGGAACAGTGTTAAGAAATATTTGCATGAACTTTGGATTCTAACTGTCCTAAGTAGTCATCAGAAGGATTTTTAGGATCTTAAATATAAAAGGTAGATAGGACCAATATTAACTACTTCAGATACTGTTAGTCAGTTTACCTAGTACAAAACGGTTTTGCTGTTTACTGTTATTAAGTCTACTGCAGAAGTCATGCAAACAACATTATCAAACATTTAAGTTAATTACATGGAGATAGCATGAAATGGAGAATTTATGTCACTATAACTTTGGAAGAAAATATTTAGGACTGAAAAGAGAGTAGTTAAAAGTAGTATATACTCTGGGTTGGAGAGATGGCTCAGTGGTTAAGAGCACTGGCTACTTTTGCAGAGGACCCAGATTTGATTCCTAGCACCCACATGATGGCTAACAACCATCTTATAACTATTCCTCTTCTGACCTCTGGGGGCATTGCATGACACAGGTTCCTTACATACATGCAGGCAATACAGTCATACATGTAACATAAAAATAAATAAAAATGTATGTATTTTAAAGTATGCACTGCTCTTGCCTAGGACCTAACTTCAGTTTCCAGCACTCATGTTGGGCAGCTCACAACTGCCTCTGACTCCAACTCAAGCAGATGCCTGTGGCACCACAGGCATCTGTACTCACATGTGTATACTCACATACAGATACACAAATGCACATAATTAAAAATAAAATAAATCTTTAAAAATACAAAGAGTATTCAGTTTGTATAGTAAGTTGGAGAGTACCTATTGAATGTCCATTGTTGGGAATTGTGTTCAAAGATGTAAGTTGTAAAATCCAGGATGGTGATTCTAGGAGCAGACCTGTGTTTAGATCTGTCATTCTTAAACTTTTTTTTTCCTTTTTTATTTATTTATTTTTTATAAATATTTTTAATTTATTATTTAAATAAATAATTTATTGAGAATTTCATACATGCATATAAGGTGTTTTGATTAAATCCATGCCCACTCCCTCCCCTCCAACTCCTCCCATATCTCCCCATCACTTTTTTTCTGATAGCTCCATGTACTCTTCTCTAATTTTTTCTGTGGGGCTTTTGGGTATTCTAACATTCCCCCTTCTGAAGAGGTAACCCTAAAATCTTTTAAGGATTAGACAAAAGTTCCCAAATATTTTCAACATTTTTGGCTTTTGGAACAGAGTGGGTTGCTAAGAGGCCCAAGGACATTGTGAATTTTAGCCAAGAAACTGGCTACTTTTCTTTGGGGTCTTTCTACCCTGACTGCCTAGCAAGTTCTTAACACACCATCCTCTGAAGAGGTTACCCAAATTGCCAGTAGGGAATCTGGACACAGACTGCTCTGGCTTCTTCCATGCTGAACAGGGATGCAGGGTGAGGCAATTGGAGTACCTCTTCAGGGGTTCTATCTAAAAGACTCCCAAATTGTATAACTCTTATTTCAAGAAGGAAAACATTATCTAGCCACTCTTCCCAGCCAACTGAATGTAATTTGACCCTAATCACACATGGCCTCCTGGATTTGGGGAGGGCTAAAGTATACAATCTGGGGAAGGCTAGGAAGAGAAGGCATGACTCATACTGGGTAAAGGCTACCCTCATGCCATACATACACCTCAGCAACCCCTCAGTTATTTCGGTAAGTAAGCTCAATAAATTCCTTGGTTCCCTAGTAAAACTTTAATCAAACATTGGCTCGACTCTAGAACCTTGAAAGGTAGTAAGCATTGCTTAGTATACCCAGGAAAAGAAGTC